AACCCAGAAGAAGCAGGCACCGCATGATTTTGAAGCTTAGTGTTTGTTCTGTTGTTCAGTGGCAGCCAACTTCCAGCTATTGAAAAAAAGAAAGATGATTTAGAATTGAAGGACTGCTCATCTGTATCGCAAGGCCCTTCAACTGGTGCACGCCATGGTGTCCAAAGACCCCAAGATGGAGGTGAGTTTCTATTGCTACTGCTATTGTTTTATCAATTTGTGTCGACTGCAGCATGTGCCGGTCAAAGACTTAGAGCAGCATATTGCTTCATGCAGCACAAAATATCGTTGGGTCATGCAGTTACAGCTCCTAACAGTAGTCTATTCACACTCTTTTTTTCTTTTTCTTTTTTTAAAGAAATTTCATTGGGCAACAGTGTTTTTCCAGGACCCATCAACTCCAAGTCAAGTAGTTGTCTTGAGTCTCGTTGTGGAGGGTGCAGCTCCTTGGCTCATGTGGGAATCACACCGGCCACCTTGGTGTTATGAGCCTGCTCTCAAACCACCTGAACTAACTGACCGCCCCGATTCACACTCTTAATGACACACATATAAAGGAGTGTTGAATCATTGCCTCCCAAAGTCAACTCCTATTTTCATTACAGTCGATACGGTTGATCTTAGAAGAGTGGGGCTCAGGACCTGAGAGTGTTAAGTGGCTGATACTTTAGTAGAGAGAGGCAGGGAAGGGTGGGTAGAAACAATACCTGCTTTCTCCTCTACCTGTGGGTCATACACACCCTGTCTGGAGGCTAGCAGAGGTCTAAACACAGAACAGAGGGCACTGGGGATGAGGTAAGACTGTCACAGGCACATGGCCCACAGTTTTCCTTTGAAGATGGAAACAGTGCTCTGATGTATAACATTTGTATCACCACTAAATGGGCTTAGTGACTAGAACAAACATCACTTACCAGCCAGAAACAATGATTCTCTGACCATCTTTGGCCTCTGACCACTAAGTTTTGGTTTTCCCATCTACAGACATTCTTAATTGACTCCATCAGGTTCCCAGTCACCCCAGGCATGATTAGCTTCCTCTTAGACTTGGTAAATGAGTGAGCTTAAGCCAGCACTTCAGCATCAAACTCAGACTTCATAATCAAGTAAACCAAACGTGGAGTAGCCATCAGCATGGTGAGCACCCTGCGGTTCATCCCTGCTAGGGGCCCAGACTGCAGTGTTTTCACACCACTGAGTCACTGGGATGTGCTGGCCTCACTGGCTCAAAGTGTTCAGCTCAAGGTGAATTGTGAGCTATTGCTGAGCACATAATGGTCAGTATAGCCTCATAAGCAGTCAGAGCCCTAAAAGTGTTCACCCGAACTCAATAAATCCAATTGGGTTCTACAGAAAGGTTCTGTTGGGTTTTGATCAGAATCTCTTTGAATGAGCCTTTGATTCCAAGACTGAGCTAGGTCTTGATGTGGATGTTCCGGCTCCTTCCAGCTACCTGTAAGAGCCCATTACAATGCTAAGATGTAGGCTGTACTGAAACAGGAAAAAAACCTTTTGGTATTTTGCATGCACACAGGAAAATAACAATAATAATAACAGAAGCTGTTTTCCTGTATGTAATGAGAGAGTTCCTTAGGCTCCTGGCTCTTCTAAGAGTCATAGCAAAAATTAAATTTTATCAGTTTGAATGGAATGATATTAGAAGGTAGATTCTGGCTAGCAAAGGGTCTTTTCTTCCTTGGTAAGAAGGGCTTGGAGCTCTGTAATGAGCGCCCCAAGATACAAAGAAGGCATAAGGATGAGTTTGGGGCTGCAGCTTGGGTCATTAAAAGTCCTACAAAACTAGAATTCATCTTTCTTTTTTCTCTTTTCTTCGTAGGTAAAGATACTCTTTTTTCCCTCAAAACTTAGACAACTGTTTTAAAAAATTGAAATACATTTGACATATAACATTGTGTAATTTTAAGGTATAGAATATGTTGATATAGTTATATATTGTAATATGATTGTCATTGCAGCAATAATTAGCACTTCTATCATGTTATATAATTATCATTTCTTTTTAGTAGTTGGAATAATTAAGATCTAGTCTCTTAGCAAATTCGAATATTATACAATATTGTCTATATTCACTATACTGTACATCAGATCTCCAGGGCTTATTTGCTACTCATTGCAAATTTGAACCTTTAAACAACATCTGTCATATCTCCTCACCCCCCAGGACCTGGTACCTACCATTCTACCATTTTTATGAGTTTGGCTTTTTTAAATTCCACATATAAGTGATACACAGTACTTGTCTTTCTCTGTCTGACATCTCTCTTAGTATAATACCCTCAAGGTCCATCCATGTTGTCACAAATGGCAGAATGTCCTCCTTTCTTATGGCTGAATAATATTTCAGATAGTATATACTGTATAGATCATCTTCTTTACCCATTCATCCATTTAGGTTCTTTTCACAACTTGGCTATTGTGAACACTGTGAATAAACATGGGAGTGCTTATACCTCTTTGATATCCTGTTTTCATTTTCTTTGGGTATATACCCAGAAGTAGAATGGCTGGATCGAATGGTAATTCTTTCACTTTTTTTTTTTTTTTTTTAGCTGAGCCATCCTGCCACCTGTTGGCAGCTCAGCAGCTGCTCAGCTCGGGCCAGGAATCGAACTGCTGTTGCTC